AATGCAACATAGCACAATTCAGTATATACTGTATAATCTGCAAGCAATTTGATGTAAATTGCATGGAGCAATGGGTCATATATTTGTCAAGCGACTGGCAGCATACTTTTCTAAGTGCCTATGAATGTCTGGAGCACGTTGCTTGAAATTTCTTGCGATGATTTGTTTGGAAGATCTGTATTGCCACTTTTCCAACCTCAGTTTTGGGTATTATGTGGTAAATAGGAAGTTCATTCCTTTTCCTTCAATCTGTTATTATATCTTGGCTTTCCAAGTATCATATTTCTTACCTGCTTACTACAGTACTTGTATTTCTCTAAAATTTATTCACATGGAATCAATTATTCATGTGATTATGTGAATGTAATCCCCCCCAATTGATGAACCGATTCATATAGTTGAAAACGAATTGTAAGATGTTAAAGAGAATCTGGCGATGTGAGTTACCTCCTTCTGAAAGGGTTCAAGTACATCCTAGCATTTTGGATTGTGTTTAGGAAAAATTTTCGGTGCATTTTACTTGTTACAGTTGCATAGAAAATTATAAAAGTTCACTCATTATTAATTAAAATTTCATATTTATCTTTACTAATGAGGATAATTAAGAAGTTAAGATAAGGGTTTTTTTTTTAAGTATAGAATAATTATTAAAAAGGATATAAAAAAAAAGAGTTTAATGTTATGTTAAAAATTAAAATTAACAGATAAATTCAATCATCTCCTTAAAAGAGTGACAAATAAAATGCAGCTAAGGTCATATATATTGTTTACTTATGTTAAACTAATGAAATGGAGATTTAATTAAATAACATTTGAAGGCCTTTCCTCATACAAAGGTTCCATGGTCTAGTGGTCAGGACATTGGACTCTGAATCCAGTAACCCGAGTTCAAATCTCGGTGGAACCTCTTTTTTTTTTGTAAAAAAAGGTTTTTTCCCCCACCATTCTTCTTTCTTTGCCTTTTGGGCCTCACATTTCCCTTGCAGAAGTGAAGAGAGAG